GAAGTCCACACCTCTTACCGTTGTCAAGGTTGAGAAACACTGGCGTAGGCCATGAAAAGGGGACATTTCATCAACCCAGCTAAGCATGCTGAGCAAATGCTGTTTACATCACGCACCAATCAACAAAAAACATCAATACCCCTTTCGTCTGGCCTAACCAACCCACTTCAAACATGAAAATAGAATAAAACCATCTCCCCATGCTGTATTTTTCTGACTGGACGATTACAATACAGTACACAGAATTCACCTTATAGCCTCAGCGATCCTGGTGCTTTCTTTTCTTCGGTCGCTGGATAACCTTCCAATTAGGTAGGAATAGTCCAAGCCGCTACAAAAGACACTACCCACAGCACTGAGCAGAAGGAGTTTACTGTCATCAGTGGCTGCGTTGCACAAGGCTCTCCGGACCTCCTTCATGATCTGCAGAGAAACAAAGATAGTCCAGTTTTTTGACATGACTCACGGAGATTTCCCTTGGCTTTTTAAAAAAAAAAATCTGGCTCAAAATGGCCCCCATGATCACGATCTCAGAGTCTTTGCTTCCTACAAGAGTTTCTCCAAACTGTCTGCATTTCAAATATATATTCAATATCCACTTTTGAGACGTTTCCTAATATCAAAGGTAACAACGATAGCAACCCAAATCCGGTGGAGGCAAAGTTAAGGACACAAGGGTGCTTTGATCTTCGTAATGAGGGCCATGGCGAATGTTTGAAAGTGGTTTTTAGCAATGTGCCTTAGCCCAGACAGAAAGCCTCCCTTCCAAGTGTCTTTTGTAAGGCTGATGAGGGCGCTTGGAAATCTTTCTGTCTCTGTATGGACAGCTGCTTTGCTTTGCTGGTAGTCCCAGTGAAAATATCGGAATACCCCTTCCTTTTTTTTTTTTTTACATGCCTCTGACATGCTTCAGCTTCTGGTCACATATGCCTGTTTTGATGGTCAGAGAAGCAATCGACCGAGCTTTCCGTAAACACGACCATCAGTTCATTTCACACACTGTATCATGTACGCCAATATTGTTTATTTTGATTGACACTACCTCTTTTGCAGCAGAGACATCCAGTTGAAGCCGCAGGGATGTCATGCACATTATGATATCATCATGCAAATTATATAATTTGTATTAATTGTATAATACCCCCATGGACACCCATGCTTTCAACCACCGTAAGTCCAATTTGCAATTGTCTAAGAGGTGACTTTTTCTCTGTCTTCCAGCTAATCTCTCAAACCACCCTTGAAAAAGAATGGAAGCTCAAAAAATTCCAAGGTATAGGAAACCTTAAGAATTTGATACCTGGAGATGGATTCAAACCAACATATGAACGTGACGGGCAAAGTAAAGTAATACAAGTAAACATGGACAAATACATTGACAAATTGTGAATGTATTTCAAACCTGCAGCCCCAGTTCTAGTTTTCCCTTCAAAATTTTGTAAGTGTTAAAAGTAAAATTAGACATGAAATTCAAGGGAGTTATTTCATTAGTGGGAAACTTTTATGGCTATTGACCATCTCCCATTGTTCAGGATGTTTTCTCTTTTATTTGATGTTCACCTGCGTACCTCTGGAGTCAGGGCATTGTTATCTGAGGTCTGACTGGATAGGAGGATGTGCGTGAATCCATCTTCTTTGCGCACAACAATGTCTCTAAACCGACAGTTGCTTTCATTCTGACGCACGCTGTACCTGAGTCTCTTATCAAAGACGTAACCCTTTTCCCCCTCCAGCTTCCGTTTCACAGTGCTATGAAGATTCAGGCCTCCATTTGCAAGAGAAGAACCTTTCAAAAGGCAAAGAGTAAGTAGGGTCAGATGTCATTATCTCAGTCAATCCAAAATAAAGATAAACTTGGGTGGTGTCTCTACTGGATTTAGTCTCCTATTCACATCATCCCTCGTCATTGGCCTGTTGGTTAGGACTGAAATAATCTGTTGTCCCAAGCATTCTGAAGGCATCAGGTTGGGGAAGGCCAAATTAAATGAACTCCAGCTTCTCTGAACATCTTCTTGCTTTGGGTGCATTTGACTGACTCCACCCAATAGGACAGAATTCTTCACTAATGCATCGGAGGCAATCTGTATTCTATATATCAGTGGAATATAATCCGTGGAAATAATGCTGCTTCAGATTTTGGCAATCCCATTCATTTAAAAATATTTAGTCTGAGCATGCATTACATAGATATTTTTCTGTCTGTCCACCAAATGAAGCAGTGATGGGGTGCTGATGTAAAATGTGGGCCCCCCTTATGTCTAAGCCATTTTGAATGCTTTTAAAGTAGAAAAGATAAAATATTTTAATACAATACAATACAATAATGAATAATGAATGAATAATTTGTCCCGTATCAATATCCAAAGCTTTTTCAGTGACAGCTCATATCTTTAGAATTATGTTCCCCGGGAGATTTATAAGGTTAGCTATTAAGTTTTTTCCCCTAATTTATGGCTTTATTTGACTATTATTTCATTGCTATTCCTCTAATGATTTATGTGCTGGTATTCTAATTTGGCTTTGTTTATAACATTTTATTTTTTGTGATGTACTTATTAATTTCTATAAACTGTATTATGATAGTTTTGCCCTAAAAGTCAGAACAGAAATATATTAAGCAACACGTATTTTAATGGATTTATATTCAACCTGAGCTTAATTGTTGGTCAGTAGATCTTAGGAAGTGGTTATTTTAGTCTGGACACAGAGAACTTTTGTGAATTGGGCTTATTTAGTCTTTAGATGAGACACCACTGGAGGGATAGACTGGGAAGTTGAAAAAAAAATATTCCTGAAGCTGGGCATCAACAACACTACTGTATTGTTTCCAAGAAAATTACATGGATGCATCTTGATGTTTGATGAAGAATCAAACTCAACTGAAGGACACTTGACTTTATACTCTGAGCTGGAATGAATGAATGGTCTCCTGTAATTTTAGTTAGAATCAAATGTTATACCCCTGGGATCTCAATTTGAATCTTGTAGACGGGCTTCATCTTTGCTTAGTTAAAGCCCTGATGGATTGCTGTGCAAATTCAAAGTAAATTAGTCTCTCTGGGAATAACCAATGGTAATAGAAGTCTTTCACTTAACATAACTGGGGTCTGACTACAGTGTTTTTGAGGCTGTTGAAAGAAAAATGTCAGTATAATTTGTGATTGGATAGCTAATCCCAAGGCACATTAACATCTCTATAAGTATTACACTCCAGCAAAAAAAGGACTGAATCCATACTTAGAACAAACCCACTGAAAGAAATGGAATTAATCACGACACACTTGATTCAATGGGTCCATTTTAACTGCACATCAAACTTAATATAATGTACCATTCCTTTTCCCTTATCATGCTCATTAAAATGCTCTGAGATTATTTTAAACATCCAGTAGAAGACGAGCTTTCATCTATTTTTGTTCTATTATTATAGAAATCCTTACTTCCCTCCCTCCAAGCAGACTTTAATTAATTTTTCTCCTGAGTGAAATATGCAATACATTTCATGGAGTCCTACTTGAGTAACTTTGTGAAATGATTACAGATGGTGATTGTTAATCATAGAGAAAAATCCCTTCAATTAGTTCCTCAGTTTGTATGAGTCCATTTGAAGACAGTAATGAGATTTCATTATCTTCTTCCCCTCCCTTCAACAAGTGTTAAGTGGAAGAACACTAACATGTGATTTATTGGTGCATATAATATCATTGATGTAGTCTACAAATTACAATTGGGTACTATGAGTTATGTCCCCACATAAATCCAATGGTTGTGTTTGCCCAACATGTTCCATCAGATTAGTTAAAGAAACAGCAGTTGCAGTCAAAAAATGTCAAGCTTGGTTAGTGTCTTGGTATCAGAGTTAAGCGTTCTGTGTAAATATAGCTACTATGTCATAAAGCAGAACAAGGGGAGAGCTATTAGCCAATTGAAATATGTGAAGAAGAATTCAGGTTCTGTTTCTTTCATCTCCTGGGACTTCTGGGCAAGACTCTGAACTGAAACTTTGAGGGGTCTCTGCTGGTCAAAGCAGACAAGGTTAAAGTAGTTTGACTAAAAGTCAAAGTCAGAATAAAGTAAAGATGGAGAGTTTTGTTGATGTCATAAATATTTGCATATTTCTTTAAAAAAATAACATAAGAAACTGACATTAAAATATTGGAATATGAAGCACGGCTGACAATTTTGTCCACCACCGCAGAGGACACAGATGATACATTCATTAATGTGTGCATAAGTGTGCATAAGCTTTGAATGTGAATATTTCAAGCTTAAAATTTCCTGTTTCAAGTACAAAAAACCATGTATTGAGTCCAGAACAGTTGTCCTGAACTTGCCCGAAGCATTCTGACCCCATTCCAACCATTCCAGATCTTTTTCAGGTTCAAAAAAGGGCTATCTTGAGATTGGAACATATCTGGAATGATCAGAACGGCGCTGGAATACTTTCAGCAATTTCAAAACAGCCCTTTTCGAATTGGACAGCTCCTTTGAGCTCACAAGATTGTGGATTCAAAATGTTTGTTTTGAATTTTATTTTTGTATTTGTTGGATTTATATTGGGTCTTTCCTCTGGAAACTGAAGATGACGTATAGTCAAGTACAGTTTGTAATCTCTGGTCAAATTATATTGCTTTAATGAATCCTTAAGTCAACAGAAGTCGAAAACCTCTACGGAGTGTAAAGTTAAATGACATCCTTTTGCAAATGTCTATGCATGTGTGTGTGTATACACACATGCATACAACATTTTTATGTATGCACATTTGTGTGCAAACAGTGACCATAGGAAGTGCAGAAATCTGGACACCCTTTCAGTCAATACTTTGTAATACCTCCTTAACAGAATGAATAGTTTCCAAAAGTTTTTTTGCAGCCCACATCTGGTAGCCCTAACCAAGTATTTGTCAGGGATAGGTATAAGAATATGGTCCTTGGTACACTTGCAGCATCTCCTCTTCCAGAGTTCCTTTGTCTGGAGTTTTAATGCCACCTAATTAGAATATATGGATTGATCTCTTAAGGGTTGGCCACAGAAGGAATTCCCTAAACCTTGACTGGTGACAACCATTCCTAGGACTGTGTTTTCTCCATTAACTGTATGGAAACACAATAGTCTGGAGTGCTTGGTTTAGGATTGTAACCACAGCAATTTCAGCCATTGTGGCAGCTGGAAAAAGTTTTACTGGGCATGAGAAAATGCTAATTTTTAGCTGTCGGCAGGACCTACTTTCAGTCTGCTTTAAATTAAGGTCTCGATGCTTTTACTGGGGCACTGCATTGTCCAGAAAGGAACTCTGAAGCTCATGTACAGCACAGTTTGCAAACTAACATTAATGTGAAAATCTAACAAGGAAGGGGTTGGATTAAACCATGACAAAACCCAGGGGTAAATCACATAGTAAAGATCAAACCATATGAGTCCAAGGAGCTAAAAATCCTTCTTTCCCTTACAGTGTGGTTTTCAACCTGTGCTCCATGGAATCTTAGGGTCTTATGAGAACTTGATGGGATTCCATGAGAGACTAAGGGCAATATAAATGAAAAACAACTGCAATGACAAAAAACAGAACACACCCAAAGCCAATTTACTATCGTTAGAGCTTTACCACTGGATCAGATGTTTGGGGATTTTTTTTTAAAACTAACACGTTCCATGGCCTGAAAACGTTTGAAAACCCTTGCCTTAGAACAGTGATAAATGAGAATAGATGAAATGTCCCTTCTTTATTTTTTGTCTTTCATCATTTTAATGAAGGAATCTTTACAAAAGAGGTGAAAGAAAACAACTGACATTTATATATATGCCAGGATCTAAGTACCTCACAGAGCGTGAGGCAGGACAAAACCAAAGTTTCATGTAATTTAAATCTTGTGAAAATTAAATTACAGTAATTTAATACAGTTCATGCAATTGATCCCTATGTATTTAGCAATTTTCTTCTTCTGTTGTTAAAAATGGCAATTTGAAAGGCATTGTTTGATGGGCTTCTTCCAATGCTTTTGATGCCAATGTGCTCCTTGGGACCATGGACCTTCTTTTATTTATTTATCAAATTTGTCACCACCCATCTCGTGAAATTACTTATATTCTTCCAAGAACATCATGAAAACACAAAGCTCTGCATGGAAAAAAACAAAAAACAAAAACAGAAAATAATATCTTTTCCTTTATGGAGCATTTAGAAGTAAAAAAATAAAATTATCATTGGTGTGAAGTACAAGATATCTGGCATCACCCCTGAACCGTACTATATAAGGAGTACAGAAAGCAAAGGAGGGAAAAAAACACCCCAAAGTCGAAATTCTCTGACAGATGCTGGAAAACAGCAATTTATTGAAACTTGGGAGATGTTGTCTGAGAACCACCTCCCTCAGGGGCAAGAACCTTTATGAACTCACTTCGGTAAACCTGTTAAAACAATTCACTCTGGGAATATTCCTTTTCAGTCTCAAAATACACTGGATGACTCTTCAGATAATCATTATATGCCCTCTAACAATTGACTCAGTTTGACGAAGGTTAGCAAAAGCCTGCATAAAACAACATGCTAAGAAACAACGGAAAGGAATTGGACCACTTGGGAAAATGCAGGGTTTGCCCAAGTAGAAAAAAAAAAATACTTAATAGAAATAATAAACTAAAAAGATTCCCAATTTCCTCTCCCCAAAGATTGATCATGCTGTGTATCCATAGAAATTAATAGCATTGGGGGGGATATAATGAAACTGGGGTAAAAGAACGCCGTACTTTGGAGGGTACTATCTCTAGTGGTTGAACATTGGACA